AAAACAAGATCTTAAACAAGCAGAAGATGATGTTGTCACGCTTAGAGAATCACGTCAGAAAAGGGTATTATTATAAGCATCAATTGCTTTTTTGTGATGATTTAATTATCATTGAACTGCTTCTTTAGAATCAAGAAATCTCATATAAAAAAAATCAAATCAACTAGTAATTCAACAATTGGACACTGATTTAAAGGTTATTATTTAACATTTAAATTAATATATCAAGTATTTTAAGATTCTCATAAATTTCTTTTATTACTTTTAGCATTACCTTAATCAGCAAGATCTCTTCAAGTCTAGTCTTGCCGATTCTCGACAAAGAGAAGATGAGGCAAAAAAGACTTTTAAATTTTTCTCGGTCTAGATGACAAGATCTTAGCAACTTGATAAGCTCAAAGATAGTGGTCGTATAAAGGATTATATGTAAGTTCATCGGAGCGGAATGTTCTATAATTTGTTTTGCTGAAAATCTTATTTATTTTAATTATTTTAATTAGGTTCATAGGGTAACCTTGTGTCATTGATGATAAATACGATATTCCGATTTCATCTGCCTGTAGTTGATTTTATAGAATACCTTAAAAGAATGATCTAGGTTGTACTAAGTTAATTCTTTTGAATGAACTGCCTACCATGGACATGCGCCTGATATAAACGCCTCGTCTTTTAATCCTATTAAGCCGAAAGATGACAGGTTTATCCCAGCATTTTAAGGGTACCTTATGCTGGAGTAAGATTCAATGGATTAGGCGGAGGTGGACAATTATTCATTAAAACATTAACTGGTAAAACTATAATATTGCAAGTTGAATTTACTATGACAATTGACCAAGTTTATAGGGTATTACAAAACACTTTGGTTGCCCAAATCTATAAGCGAATAGGATCGCATTTAATAATATTCTATGACGCGTAGTGGTCAATTGATTGACAAATCTGGCACTATGAGCGGCAAAGTGTTTAAAAATGCCATGAATTCAATTTTCTTCTGATAATAATCCGAGACAATAACGAAATTGGAAAAGATCGTAACCATTTTGAAATGCAGTGGAAAGAATTAGATGAAAACTTTAGACCTCAACAAGTATGAACTTCCTAAATAAGAATTTGAACTATCGAAGTTAGAGATGATGAGAATGCTTGCGCAAAACGTATTACATATACTGAAAAAAGAGTAGCCGAGTTACGGTATGCATAGAACTACTAATAAATTCTTGTTAAAGGTTAATAGTAATCATTTTTTTATTTTTTTCTATAAGACAAAAAATATAGATGATACGCGTATGGGACAACTTCGAATACAAATTGATCATCTAACACAAGAGTTAGATAAATTGAAAAGACAACCTTCTTAAATTGTAGGAGATTAAGATTTTGCAAGATAAGATTTTGGAAATTGGGGTGATAAACTTCGAGCTCAAAAGTCTAAAATAGATCATATTAAAGATCAACTATGAGCGAATTATCAAGTCTCAAGTGGCCAAGTCAAGGGTAGTTAGTGGATCTAATGTCGCATATCTTCACGAATCATTTTCAAGATGGCCTTTGCAAAAGGATGATGCTGAACTTTCAAGATCAAAGTTGTAGAAATTTTTATGTTAGAAACCCAAATCAATTTTTTCTATTTCGACTCTGA